GAAGCTAAAGTCGAGATGGTCAGGTCCTTTTGAGGTGGTGCGAGTCACTCCTTATGGTGAAATCGAGCTGCGAGCTTTAAATGGTGAGAGAACATTTTTGGTGAATGGGCATAGAGTCAAGCACTATTGGGGAGGAATGATTAATCGTGAAAAGACCAAGGTTGTACTCGCTGATGAGTAAGCGAGACTCTGCGTCGTGCCGCGACGTTAAATCAGGTGCTAGATGGGAGGCAACCCATTGAATTGTTGTAAACGTCGTGCCGCGACGATAAATCAGGCGCTGGTTGGGAGGCAACCCAACGATAGTATTAAATGTTGATTTTGTGTTTTAGGAACTGCTAACCAATACAGGTGACAATGGGCAAGTGCTAAGGCCATCGAACAGGGTAAGAACAGGTGAAAAGTTGAAGAAAAATTTCGCCCAGGTGCGCGGTCGCGCATCTGGGCGCGCTAAATTTGCACTAAGTCTGTCTTGGCCGCGCTAAAAATAGCGCGACCGCGCACCTGGGCGCGCTTCTGAACGCGAAACTAGCGCGGTCGCGCATGTGACCGCACACCTGGGCGCGCTAATTTCTCAAAGATTCTGTTGTGGCCGCGCTATACTAGTGCGACCGCCCATCTGGCCACGCTAGTTCCGTCAGTTGTCGCCAGTTTTGTTTAGTCATTTAAGTTTTCCTTTCCTTCTCTAATTTTATTTTGTTTAGGTTTTAGTTTCTCCCCCCTCCCCTTTCTAAACCTCCCGTTCAATAATATACTCTCACCCCTCCTCTAACTCTCCCCTAATCAAACAAACATAAAAACCCCATCTCATAAATCTGCTCCTAAATCCTCTACCCATCTCACGCATATTCCCCCACTTCTTTCTCCCATTCTCACGATTTCCCCCCATTCTCTTTCTCTACTCACCACCATCGTCCATCACAGGCATTAACCCTAGTTTCTTTTTCCTTTCTCTTTCTTCTTTTTTTTTTCTTCTAGTTTTATTTTTTTTCCAGATGTTGTTATATGCAAATACCTTGTTGTAGTTGTTGTTCTTAGATTTTGTGTAGAGAATTTGGTGCTATATGTTGTAGTATAGGTGCGTGATAAGTGTGGGGTGAAATTCCACCTAATTTATGATCTTGGTGAGTGTATGTGGTGGATTAGCGTTCTAAGAAGTTTAAAAAGAGCTATGAAGGGTTAACGCCCACAAGGTGTTCGTGGAAAGGCCCAAATGAACATGATAATGTAGTTTGTGACCACCTATGCGTGTGAAGTCTGAGTAACCGCATTGCGTCACAAAATCTTAGTTGGGCTGTGCTAATGTGTTCCCGTGTTGCAGGTATCATGGCTTCACCTAGAAAACGACAAGCCACAGGGGCCTCATCAAGCAGCCAAGCTGGTTCAGCTAGGTCGAGAGGGGCTGTACATGCCTGTTCCTTTGATGCTACAAAATTTGTTTCGGCCAAGGCACAAGACCGCTTTGCGGAAAAGGCTCGTAGAAAGCCAATTCCGGAGAGGGGTATTCATGTAGGCTGGCTCCAGCACCACTGCCCGCACATGTACAATGAATTGGTGAGGCTAGGGTTGCAAACTTTCATCAATGAGCCCGGTGAAGGTAATGTCATGGTTGTGCGGGAGTTCTATGCCAATATACTGGAGCATGTTAATGGAGTAGTCACTATGCGCCGACGGGCGGTGAATGCTTCTCTTGAGGCAATACGGATGGCCTACCAGCTGCCTCCACCTCCGGATGCTGGGGATTACTTCTATGAGTACGGCCGCCACCCAATGAACGACGGCAAATGGGCGCGATTTTTTGAGACAATTTGTGTGCCCGGGAAAGAAGTGGTTTGGATGGACTATGGGGAGAAATTCCACTCCTCCGCACTAACCTTTGAAGAGAAGTTCTGGCTCCATCTCATTACCAATCGTCTGATTCCGTCTCACAACACTACAGAGGTCAATGGTCCACGAGCTGCCTTGATTTGGTGTTTTATAAATGGTTACGACTTCGATGTGGCCAAGGTGATGCATGATGAGATATTCGTCCGAAGTCAAGTCAAAAGGTATGGGTTCTTTTTCCCCTCTCTAGTGACTCAACTATGCAGGGATGCTCGGGTACCCGAAAATCTAGCTGTGGATGGGTTGGTACGAAAGGAGGGCAAATTCCGTGCTGATAAGGTGACCACGGGCAAGGAGCCGGAAGTAGTAGCGGTGGAGGCAAGTAGTAGTTCTGAGGATTCTGATGATGAGGAGGATGCTGAGGACAGAGTGGAGGCAGCACCACAGGCTCAGGAGCGAGTTGTAGCAGCTGCAGGACCATCTGGGACTGCGACATCTTCAGGAGCTGCCCGGGTGTCCCGTTTCACTGCTTTGGAGCAGGAAATGGCTGGTTTGCGGACATCCATGACTGATTTGGGCACACGAGTAGACGCGGTAGCTGGCCGACAAGTGAAGTCGGAAAAGAAATTCATGGGATGGCTGCGAGCTCTGGGTCGTGCGTGCCACGTCAACCCAGACACTGTCTCCGACCAGGAGTGACACTTCAGGGAAGTTCCTTCACCTCACTGCTCTTTCAAATTTTAAGCCATGGGGACATGTCTTCATTTTAAGTGTAGGGTGGGGGTATACTTCATTGTATGTATGTAGTTGTATAAATTGAATGTTGTTTTGTTTTGGTTTATTTGACTGTGATAGTTTTGGTGTTAAGTAGGAATCATTAGTTTAAAATAGATAAGTGGCTCGTCCCGATAACGGATCCCTTTCGGAGGGGTTCTTGAGGGACTAAGTCGGAAAAAAAAGAGAAAATATGTAGACTCTTCCCGACGACGGATCACCTTAGACAATGTTCTTGAGGGAAGTTAGTCTAGAGAAAACTCCAAAAAGATTTTTTTATTTTTAGGTAGTGTAGCAACTCCCCCTTGGTTTTTCTTTAGGCCACGGTTCTTTTCCAAGGGTTTTAACTTGAACCGGGTATAGGTAGTTTTTTAGTTTGTTTTCTTTTTGATTCGTAGAGTAGGTTAATGAGCTACGAGCTAGAAAATCAAGAGAGACCCCATAGCGTTGACACACCTGAACACAATAGACCCTAGAGTGCAACGCTTAGTCTTATTTGTTGAATCTCACTAAAGTGCCTTAATTTGTATGTTTGTTACTGAATTGAATGCTCGTAATGGAGCGTCTTGATGAGCTGATCTGGAATGAATCATATGCCATGTGTGGTGAGGTGTTGCGTAGTCCATGTATTGTACTTGTGTTTAGAACTTGCCCGGTATGTGAGTCGAAGCGAAATTTTAGGTGATGCTCGGTTTGAAAAATGATTTTAGGCTTTCTTTGATCTTTTTGAGCTTAATTGCTTACCACAAATAAAATCTATCCCTAGTCAACTCTTTTGAGCCTATAGACTTTTATTTGGTACCCACATTACAAGCCTATACCCTTTTTATTCTTAATTGACATTGTTTGATCCCTTTTACCTCTTAAAGCACTTTAATTGCGAGATGAGCGCCAAAAGAAGTAAGAAGGAACTAAGTGTAGGGGTGGCTTTTGAGTGAAACCAATAAAAGGAAGAAAGGTGCACTTGTTTTGTAGAATAATACACCACTAGCAGAAATTGAAAAAATTTGAAAATTTGAAAAGAAAAAAATAAAGGGGAGAAGAATAATCTGAAAAAAAAATTGAGAGATGAATACATTGTGGCTTGTTCTTGCTAGTGGGGTATAAATTAAAGTGGTGCTTAAAGAAAGAGGGGACATTGTTGGGAGCGATTTTAGTTGTGAAATTGAAGTGGGATTGAAGAATGTGCGCTCAGAGTGATTATGTGATGTGTTAAAGTGCTTAGGAGGGTGAACCACTATTCCTAAATATATCCTACCCGTCCCTGAGCCCACATTACAACCATGAAAAAGTCCAAATTGATTTTAGATCGAGTGAGCCTACATTAGTAGAGATTTACATTAGGGGCAAGCTTATGGTACCAATTGCATGCATGTGACTTCTTTTGTGAGGGCATGTGATTTATGAAAGAGAGGCAAGTCTTGACTTCTGTGTAGAGTACTTTGAGGAAGTATGAATATTGCATGTCACTTGAGAGTCGACTTGTGAGGCTAGGATTGTTCACTGATAGGTGTAATGTATGTGAATTGTTCTGTGTGTAATGCGTTAGGGGATAGGGTTGAGTGAAGGAACCTCTAGAAAGTATAGGGTGATTGCTCGAGGACTAGCAATGAATTAAGTGTGGGGTGTTGATAAGAGGCTGAATTTAGGTAATTTAGCGATTATTTATGCTCCCGTTTGATTATGTTCTGATGTTATAATGTGGTTAATTGATTAAAAATGGGCTCTAATTGTGAATCATATACCTTGCAGGATGAGGAGCCTATGTGATGCCTTACGGAGGTGATTGGAACTACTTTAGAGCAAAAACGACCCCTCGGAGCTAAGGACGCACGAAGACGAGGAGAAAAATCAAGGAAGTAAAGTTCTGGGCTAGCGCGCCCAGGTGCGCGCCCGCGCATATTGTAGCCCGTCCAAAACAGAAGGTTTGCTTACTAGCACGGTCAGATGCGCGCCCATATGCGTGACCGCGCTAGTCCGAATTCCGGAAATTGTTTGCCAGGGGTATAATTGGAAATCTGGAGGAAACCCCACTTAACCTATATAAAGTCAAGCTCGCCCAAGGATTATTTATCAAGTTTTTCATAGTCTAGAGGGAGAAATAGAGAGGCAAGAGGCAATGAGGAGATTTAACCATCAGTTTCTTCTTTTCTTCTCGTTGTCTTTGCTAATTGTGATGAATTTGAACCCTATTGTGATGAACATGAGTATGAGTGGCTAAACACCCATTGTTCTGGGGTTGTGATTTAGCCATGAATATTGTTGTTTGATATTAGCTTGACCTTGATTATAATTCACCACTATATGGTTGTTTCTTCAATTCTGTGTTTAANGCACCTCAACAACAATATAGACCACCTCAGGTTGAACAACAAGCGAGTCCTACAAGTCACCTTGAAGACATGTTAAAGAAAGTGATAGCTGAACAGCAAGCTCTCTCTCAGAAGGTGATGGCTGAACAGCAAGCTCTCTCTCAGAAAGTGATGGCTGAACAACAAGCCCTCGCCACAACAGTGAGAAATTTGGAGCGTCAAATGGGACAGCTTGCTAGTGCTCAAAACACCAGACCAGCTGGAGCTCTTCCAAGTGACACTGAAGCAAATCCTAGGGCGGCCCTTAATGCCGTGTCGTTGAGGAATAGGAGACAACTAGAAGAAGTTCAGTCTAAAAAGAGGAAAGAGGTGACTTTTAATGAGAGGCCAGCCATTGTAGAATCAACATCAGAGCCAGCCAAGGAGCCAGAGAAGCCAGCTGGAGAGGCGGTGGCTGAGCAATCCCCATAATTGGTTGCAAGGCCACTACCTCCATTCCCTCAAAGACTGCAGAAATTACGAGATAATGCCACATATAAAAAGTTTCTTGATATCTTGAAGCAGGTACAAATTAATATTCCATTGGTTGACATCTTACAAGAAGTACCCAAATATGCAAAGTACATCAAGGACATTGTGGCGAATAAAAGGAGGCTGACCGAGTTCGAGACTGTGGCACTCACTGAGGAGTGCAGTTCCAGAATTCAAGGCAAGTTACCTCAGAAATTGAATGATCCAGGTAGTTTCACTATCCAAATCACGATTGGTAAACATGCTGTTGGGCGAGCTCTATGTGACCTTGGAGCAAGCATCAATTTGATGCCGCTATCTATATTTAGACAGTTGGGGTTGGGTGAACCACGCCCAACAACAGTTATCTTACAGTTAGCTGACCGCTCCCTTGCTCATCCTGAGGGAGTCATTGAAGATGTGCTAGTGCAAGTGGGGTCTTTTATATTCCCAGATGATTTCATCATCCTGGATTACGAGCCTGATCAGGAAGTCCCATTTATTTTGGGGCGTCCATTCTTAGCCACGGGCCAAGCTATTATTGATGTTTGTGAAGGAAAGATGACGATGGGAGTGGGTGATCGAGTGGAGGTCTTCAACATTTATAGAGCACTCAAGTTACCAGCCCACTATGAAGAATTGTCCATAATCTCTGTGGTAGAAGGTGATGCCACGTCGTTAGTACCTTATATGAGCCCTGCAGATCCTGTTGAACGTTATTGATTGGGGACGTAGAAAATAGTGATGATGAAATGACGGGAGAAATTGAGCAAGTGCTGGATATGTCCTGCTGTTATGTACATGGGGTTAGAAAATTTGAAGAATTGGACAGACCTGTCACTCTGACCCTCCCCAGGCCATCTATTGAAGAAGCTCCAAAGCTAGAACTCAAGCCACTTCCAGCGCATCTGCGCTATGCTTATTTGGGGAACTTAGAGACACTTCCCATTATTATTTCACCCAGCTTGACCAGCACTCAAGCAGAAAAATTGCTCAGGGTCCTCCGCGAGCATAAAAGGGCCATTGGGTGGACTATAGCTGACATCAAGGGTATTAGTCCATCATTTTGCATGCATAAAATCTTTCTAGAGGACGGACACCGCCCCAGTGTAGAGCAGCAAAGGAGATTAAATCCCATTATGAAAGAGGTGGTGAAAAAGGAAGTAATCAAGTTGCTCGATGCAGGTATCATTTTTCCTATTTCTGACAGCAACTGGGTAAGCCCGGTTCAATGTGTGCCCAAAAAGGGAGGAATGCCTGTAGTTGAGAACGAGAAGAATGAGCTAATCCCCACTCGCACTGTTACGGGATGGAGAGTCTGCATTGATTATAGAAGGCTTAATAAGGTGACTCGTAAGGATCACTTCCCACTCCCATTCATCGATCAAATGCTAGACAGGTTAGCCGGGCATGAATATTACTGCTTCCTTGATGGTTATTCAGGATACAATCAGATTGTCATATGCCTAGAGGATCAGGAGAAGACTACTTTTACTTGTCCTTATGGCACTTTTGCCTTCAAGCAAATGCCGTTTGGACTTTGTAATGCACCAGCCACATTCCAGAGATGCATGACGGCTATTTTCACTGACATGGTGGAAAAATTCGTGGAAGTGTTTATGGATGATTTTTCAGTTTTTGGGTCTTCTTATGATGATTTCTTGAGGAATTTAAGCAAGGTGCTGGCCCGTTTTGAAGAAACAAATCTGGTATTAAATTGGGAAAAGTGCCATTTTATGGTACAAGAAGGCATCGTGCTTGGTCACAGAATATCTAGGAGCGGCATTGAAGTTGATAAAGCGAAAGTGGATGTGGTTGCAAAATTACCTCCACCTATCTCAGTGAAGGGTGTCCGGAGCTTCTTGAGACATGCGGGTTTCTATCGGCGCTTTATTAAAGATTTTTCAAAAATTGCTACTCCTTTGTGCAGGCTGCTTGAAAAAGATGTCACTTTCAATATTGATGATGCTTGCCTCGACGCATTTGAGGAACTTAAAAAGAAGTTGGTGACTGTTCCCATTATTGTGGCACCTGATTGGTCTCTACCATTTGAACTTATGTGTGATGCGAGTGACCTTGCTATTGGGGCAGTGCTAGGCCAGAGGAAGGACAAGATGTTTTATTCCATCTACTATGCGAGTATGACTCTTGATGATGCACAGCTGAATTACACCACCACTGAGAAGGAGTTATTAGCTGTTGCGTGGGCCTTTGAGAAATTCCGGGCATACTTGGTGGGAACGAAAGTCATAGTCCATACGGATCATGCAGCAATCAGGTATTTGTTTACAAAAAAAGAATCCAAAGCTCGTTTGATGCGATGGGTTTTGTTGTTGCAGGAATTTGATGTAGAAATACGAGATCGAAATGGGATAGAGAACCAAGTAGCTGACTATCTATCAAGGCTGGGAAATCACGATCACGTGGAGGAGGGTGGCCAAATTAAAGAGGTGTTTCCTGATGAGCAACTTTTTGCTATAACCCAAGACCCTCCCCCATGGTATGCAGACTATGTGAATTATCTTGTGAGTGGAGTACTCCCTCCCGAAATCCAATCTGAAGCTAGAAAGCGGTTCTTACATGATGTGAACTTCTATTACTGGGATGCGCCTTATTTGTTCAAGCAATGTGCTGATCAGTTGATGAGGAGATGCATTCCTAAAAAAGAGGTGGAATTAGTGTTGTATGATTGTCACGCATCACCTTATGGGGGCCATCATGGAGGAGATAGAACAGCTGCAAAGGTGTTACAATCCGGTCTCTTTTGGCCAACCTTATTCAAGGATGCCCACGCATTCGTTAAGAAGTGTGACCAATGTCAGAGAACGGGAACAATCACAAGGAAGCATGAGATGCCTTTAAATAATATTCTAGAAGTTGAGATTTTTGATGTGTGGGGGATAGATTTTATGGGTCCATTTCCATCGTCCAGAGGAAACAAGTACATTTTGCTAGCTGTTGACTACGTGTCAAAATGGGTGGAGGCAATTGCTTTGCCAACCAATGATGCCATGGTAGTAGCTGCTTTTGTGAAAAAGAACATATTCTCGAGATTTTGGGACTCCACGGGCCTTAATC